TGGCCCGCCTGGTGCGCGCCGGAGGCAAGCTGGGCCCGAGCCCTGGAGTGCGGCGGTGAGTGGGGCAGCTTGGCGAGCCGGAGGCTGAGGCAGGCGGGCGAAGGAAAGAGGCTGGGCCCGGGCGCCGGCGAGTTGCTCGGGTCGGACGTGGTTGCTTGGCTCGCAGGACCCTTCTTCTTCCTGTTAGGTGCAGGGCGCCTGCGGTCACCTTTCCGCTGCTGGGAAAGATCAGGAGTCTGGTAGCACCTTTTCCGGCGAGCGCATTTTATTAGAAGGCATAAGCTTTCGTGAAGCATAAAGGTAGATTAATAATAATTAAGGCATATTAATTAATTAATAAAAGCATATTAAAAGGCATAAGCTTTCGTGAAGCATAAGGGCAGATTAATAATAATCAAGGCATAATTAATTAATTAATTAAGGCATATTAAAAGGCATAAGCTTTTTAATAAAATGCACTCGCTGGAAAAGGTGCTACCAGACTCCTGACTTTTTGCCACCATAAACTAACATGGCTCTCCCCTACAATTTTGAGAAATTTGAGGTTTTCCCCAAATCAGTCCAGTATGCCAGTGAACTTGCTATCGTCCCCATTCCACGCCCTTCTGCATCTTAAATATCTTGTTTCCCACTTCCAATAAATCTTGCTACTGTTTTTTTTTTTGAATTTCCTAAGAATGATAACGAGATTCTATCCAGAGTCTCTTGGAGTTGGGCAGCTAATAAATATAAATAAATGATCAAATACATACAAGGCCCAGAGTTTTTGTTGAAAAAGGGACACAACGATGCTAGAGATTGGTGCACTGCTTTATGGGTTTATTTATTTTTTAGTTTCTTGTAAGCATTTCAAGGGATTAATTTTTAACACTTCTGACACAGGGAAGGAAAAAGCCATGGCATGGATTCCAAAAGTGTATTGTAGGCTTGCAAACCTGCAAACTTAAAAAGAAGGGAGTCTGGAAGAAAAATAGGCTTGCTTTGCTCCCCTATGAAAAAGCTTTCCGTATTAAAAGATGAGAGCCAGTTTCGTGTATGGTTAAGGCATTAGATTAAAAACTGGGAGACTGAGTCTTAATTCTGCCTTAGGCACAAAGCCAGCTGGGTGACCTTGGGCCAGTCACTTTCTTTCAGCCCTAGGAAGCAGGCAATGGCAAACCGCTTCCGAAAAGCCTTGTCAAAAACCTGCAGGGATTAGTCTAGGCAGTCACCAGGAGTCAAAAATGGACTTGAAGGTGCATATACACACATTAAAAGATGGACAACAGATGTGTGGTGACTGTTTCTCTGCCAAAGCTATGGAGGGAAAGATATTCTGCCTATCATACAGGTAAGAACAATCAAGCCTAGTTATGTGCACCCAGGGTAGCCACTGTAGCCAAAAGTGAAAGAAAGCTCTTGGTTTGCACAAAGTAGTGAGGCTTAGTAGGTGCTGAAACATTTACTGTGCTAGTGAAATGGGAGTGGATATTCCTACTTTCCTAAAGTTTGTGTTGGTGCTGTTTTCAAAAGTAAATACTTGTAAAAAAAATTTTTTCCTTCTCTAACTTCCCTCCTTTTTCTTGCTTTCCCTTCTTCATCCATTTCCACCTTAATAAAAATACAAATCTATCTTTAGGTGGTAGCAAGATTAATCAGATAATGTGTGATGTACTGAATGCTCTAAAGCAGTATAGAAATGCTGCGGTGTGTTTTGTCTGTATGTTTACGAATGACATTACAGAATATGTTGTATTGAAATAGATAATTCCAGGCAAATCTGTCATAGAAAGCTACTTTATGCTGCTCTGCTGTCTCATCTTCCCATTAGGCAGTACCATGAGAATTCCCAGTTGGTGAAATTCTGCATCTAATATCTTAATTAGCAGTTTCTGTGTTGTTTTGCAAAATGTATGCAACTGAGATTAAAGGACCCCTTACTGTTGTTTTCTTGTACTTATCTTGCAGGGCAAGTGAAGGTGCACATGTTGATACTCACTACCGCCAATTTGTACCACCGCCACAGTACCCAGTGATAGTCAGCGAAGTAGTCACTGGCCTCATGTGGTTCTGGATTTTGTGGCGCTTCTGGCATGACTCAGATGAAGTGCTGGTGAGAGCTATTAGATTGGAAATTACTGTAAAGCAATAGCTTTCTTAACTCAAAGCAGAATATATTGTAATATAAATTGATGCTATACTTACCTGGGTGAAAGGCCATTCTGTTTCACTGTTGTCACATGTTTATTTTAACACATATGAACCACAGGAGTATGTTCCATCTCTCAAGATGTAAGAGCTTTGTAGAATCCTGCTGTTCAGACCAGGAGTTCACTTAGTGCAATACCTTGTCTACCTTAAACTAATCTGAGAGCATCAGGCAAAGAATAATTATCCCTTCCTGCCCACCCCCACCCTATTGTGATATATTCCTCATTAACAGTCCTCCTTAGGAGGACTTTTAGGGCACTAAAGACAATTCTCTAGTAATGTTTACTCTAACTTAGACCGTCTGGGTGTTGTATTCTTCAAGTCTCATCAGGTTCAACAAGGATTGTTGATGTTAAAGAATTGTTATTCATCTGCCAAAAATTCTAGGACTCTGAAACAGAGAAAGATTGTTTTAACTGATATGCTGAAGACTTGAACCTGAGGTCTTCTAAATGTTCTGGATCACAATTCTCACTCTTACTTTAAAAAAAAAAATAGCAGATAGTGATCTGGAAATATTTGCCCTCATCTTGCTAAATAAAATTCTTAGTAGTGAAGACTAAATTGGTCTTAAACTCAGTGTAGTTAGCCATATGCCATTATGCCACAACTAGAAACTACAGTCCTAGCCAAAAGTTTTGAGAATGACACAAAGATTGATTCTCACAAAGTCTGCTGCTTCTGTGTTGGAAGATGGCAATGTGCATATACTCCAGGATGTTATGAAGAGTA